CTATCTATCCCATAGGTATACTTTCTAAAGCTTACGCTATTCCTTTCCAGCATCATTCAATCTCTTCCTTTCTAAAGAAGACTTCTCTTCTGAAGGATAACTAAAGTGGGGAATGCAAGCCGTACGATACGATATCTATGTCAGAATCCACAATGAGCGCTTATCACCCTTGGGAAGATATACATAAAGAAAGCTCCCATGCCATTATCCAGCCCCATTTTCATACATGTTCTGGATGACTCATCAAAGACACATGTGGTCCAGAAAGAAATAAAGAATATGAAGGGAAAAGGAGAAAGGGGGGGAAAAAATGAAAACTCACAACCAAAACACAAATTACGACCTATTTTTCGAAACCCCCTTTGGGTCCCCTGCACGCACATACCGCGAGAGAGAGAGAGAGAGAGAGAGAGATGGGGGGACGAGTGCGCGTTCGCATAAGGAAAGTCTATAAAAATCCACAAATAAAATGTCATTTGCCTGGAACGTGCCTGGCATCTACTTATAAACTAAATTAAGGATAACATTTGAAAAATTTGCACAAAATAAAATCCAGCCGAGGTCCGGAGCGGATGAAAACAGAACAGAACAGAACAGAACATGGATGGAACACGAGTCGCGGACACGATGTCCTGAATGCTTAAGTTGAAAATGTTTTCTTACCCCCAAAAAAAACACTGTACATAGAACTGTACCCATAGAACCCATAGAAAGCATAGAAAAAAAGCGTAGAGGGAGAAGTAGATGAGGATGTGGCAGTGCCAGTGGATGTGGAAGCTGAATGAAATAGAAATATACACAATAATTTAAATTGCTTTACAATGAAACCCTAAAATGTCAATAGAGGCGTTATTTGCTTTTCCTATTCATTCCGCCTAGGTCCCGTTCCGTTTCCCTTCGCTCCGTCCGTCCTCCCTGCATCGTACGATACTTTTTAGTATGCAAAGTGCCTGCTTGTCATCACCTTCTTACTAACTCCTCCCTCTTTCCCACTTTTCATTTCATTTGCCAGTGGATTCCATTGAAAATAAAGTGAATAATATATTCGGTAAGAGGCAGAGTGGAGCTGCGATCCACACACATGTGTATGTATGAGCTACTTATAAAAATTTTGCACATGCTCAGACCAGATAAAGTGCAACTTATTGTTAAACTATCACCAAAAGGCTTTAAACACTGATATAAGTTGATTGACTAAAGGACTGAAGGAAATAGATTATCAGATTTAACTCATTTGAAACGCCATTGGAAGTGCATCTCTAAAGTGACAAATCCATGCAACCAAAAAAAATAAAGGAAAAAAGATAAAATCTTAGATAAAGGACAATGACTCCTTGCGAATAGTTATAAAACCAGAAAATACTTAATATAATCGCAATTTTGTGATCTTCTAAAGATCTGTTTAACCAAAAACCTGTTTAAGGTCCAATTCTTCAATTTTCAATTTGGTTCAAGAAAACGTCTTTCTTAAGAACCTTTATGTTAAAGGCATCGAATTTTGATGCTATTTTAGCTAAACCTATACCACCAGAAAGGATTGGAACATTTCGGAACACGATAAGTACTGACAATGAGCAGAGGGGTTTATTGAATTTGAGGGGAATGTAGATTTGTGCAACCCCAGAAGGAAGCGTTTCCAACCCAATAAAGTATATATATGTATGCTTTATCAGCATCAATAGCCGATGAGCGCCTAGTTCTCAGAGACAATAAGCTAGAGAAACCAGACTCCTGTGACATCGTGTATTCCAAAATTTCGCCTCCCCAAAGAACCAAAATCAATGCTTCCACAATTTTGAAGATTTACGAAAACCGAAAACGCAGAATCGTAAAGATTGCCCATATCTACCAGACTGCAGAGCCTGAATCAGATCGGATAATTTCTGTCTCTCTCTACCACACTCTTCGTCATCAGCCACGCTGACTGAGTATCGGATATAAAGTTCCCCCCGTTCTTATGTGTGTTTTTTTTGGTTAATTTTAAAGTTTTGATTCTTTTTAATGTTAATTTTTGGTTTTTTAATTTTCTTTAAAGTTTGTATCGCATAGAGGTGAATTTCAATTTATGACCAAAACGCTCTGGTAGTATCGGTACCACAACTATAGCTGTATCTCTGATACTGCAGTGTGAATCAGAAATAAATGTAATCCTACTGAATATGCTCTAAAATACGTTCATAACCGCATGGCAAAAGATCGGGCCTAAGGACTAAAATATTGAAATATGAATATCTGACAGCTACGTCATCAAAGGTAACAGAAGAACCCTCCTCTGCTCTTCGCTTCATCCACAATAAGTAGGAAAAGTCTCTGAACAGTAACACACATAGTTTCCATTTTCTTCCTTGTTTGCTGTGTCTTGTTTTCGTGTTCTCGTGTGATGTAAAGTAAATCCAATCGGACAATAGCAGCAACAGTGTGTTAACACGTACACGCTGCCTGTGCTAAATATTTCAACACGATTCTGACTCGACAGCAGCAAACTACTCACTTAGCCAGAACGAAGAGCCAACAAGAAGACAGAGCCAGAGCTAGAGCAAGAGCCATAGCTGAAAGCAGCTCAAAGGCATGACCCGAAAGCATTTGCACTGCATTTAAAAAACATTTGCGGTTTTTACGCTTAATCATCATCAGTGGCTGGGGGCTTGAGGGGTGTCCGGACACAGAGGACACAGGACACTGGATGGGAGCTTGAAATTCCCAGCACGCTTGTATATATTAATAAAAATGCATTAGTTCACATTTATTTTGCACATAAAACGTGTAAAAGTAAGCAAGCCAGTCAGTCAGGGTGCCCCCGGGGGGCAGCTTGTGAGAAGATTTCACTTGCCCACAGGACGGGACGGAACGGAACAGGACGAGGCAGACATCGAGATAGGTCGACCCACTGGACTGTGGCTTCCACTGCTTTCACTCTACTCATTTAAAGCTTAGCAACTTTTACTTTTATTTCAACGCCTGAAAGCAAAATAATGTACACGACATTGCCACCCAGTCGCTCGACCAACCCACAACCCACAACCCCCATCCCCTATACCATACCACCCCCATTTCCATTCTCATTCCCATTCCCAATTCCCATCCCGTAGACAGACAACCTGTGCACTTTCGCTCTCCTACGATGGTCGTAAATTTTAGATATTCGTAGCACGTGCAAATTATGTACAATAATAAAAGGCAGCGGCAGCGGGAGAATCGGAAAGAAAGAAAGAATCAGTCGGCGTGCCGCAGCGCAAGTAAGATGAAAACACGGTCTGCTGCCGGCCATAAACTTCTCTCACCCACTGTTTATCTGTCTGCCCGTCTCTTCGTCTCTCCTTGCGTCTGCCTGTCGCTTTCAGTGACTGACAAGAACATAAAACATGTCTGCGCCTAAAGTCTGCTGCATTTTCAATGCCCAGTGCCTCTTCGTAGCAGAATATCGATTGTCTCCCCCAGACATTGGCTTGGCGGGGAGATGTGGTGGGGTGGGGTGGTGCCGCAAGGAAGTTTTCAACAAGTGAGTGCAATCTGTTGCCCCGAACTATGGGTCGCAGTGCTGGACAGTGTCATAGTAATATATAAGGGCATTTCCATTCTGGCGCTACGTTAAATTTCTACAACAAAATGTAAAAAAAAACGAGCGGAAATGTTTTAAGACCGCTTTTTTTTTGTATTAACTCCGCGCCGGCATCTGACGTAAGCTACTGGCGCTATGTTACGAAATTTCAGTGTTATAAGAGTTACAAAATATTCCGTTTACGAGATTGGGTCCTTGATTTCCGGCTTTTTTTAAGATAGTTCAATATTTAATGGAGACCCTTTTGTATTTCATGCTATGAAACCTTAAGAAATTTCATCTGCCATGGAGAAACCGACATCAGAGGATTATCCTTAATAAATATAAAGATTGATCCTTGGGGACAATATTAATACATTATATGATGCCCCCGCTGTGGAGGAACATTCTGGCCACTTCCACTCCCACGCCAGAGACCTGCCTCCCAAAGGTGTTGCATAATATTTAACACCCACTCACCCGATGGTTATCATTAGCCGTTACCCCCAAAACCCAAAAGCAACCCTCAGGCGATCCCCACCTCTCCGTTGTCATCTCCGTAGGCGGTTTGAAAATGTTTATAATTGCTTCAATATTTTGCTTTTCCGCACCGTTCCGCGTTTGTTTCACGTTTCATAGCCATAACAAACTACTTAGGTCATCAATTATGAGGTGAGACACTTGCACCTCGAGCGCCGGCAATTTTGTCGCTCTGCTGTTGCTTCTGCTTCTGCTTCTGTTTCTGGTCTTTTGTTGGAGATACTTTTATTGCTTTCATTATGATTTCATGTGGCGTGAGGCACGTTCTCCAGCGCCATCAGCACCACCCTCATCTCTCCCATCAGATCCGGAACATTCCCCGATTTCCGCAGACGACCATTTGTCTAACTTGGGCTTGAGGGGCTTCTCTGTAGAATGAGGGCGGTTTGTTAATAATGTTATCTTTTATTTATACAGCGTAACTTTTGGCTTTTCGCTTAAACTTTTTTCGGGCGTTTTTGTGTAAATGTAATTGCATTTGGCTCACCTTGATGGCAGGTCTCTGACAACTTGAACTTTTCATTTTTTTAAGTTAAGGGTACATGGAGAGGCTCTACGTGATGCCTGGCATGGTAGTCACATCATTTGAGCAACTAGTATGCTAATGTTCTCCCAATGAGTTACTTTTCCTGATTTCAGGGCTCCTCGGAAGTGGAATCACGTATGACTGTTCACCCTAAAAATTAATGAATGGATTAAAATGGGAACTGAAATTAATTTGACTGAACCCTTTAACGAAGAGGAATCATGCCAGGACTCGACTGCATTTAAGAACCTTTTAATGTACTCTGTTCGAAATGAGATTTTTTTAAAAACAATTTAACCGCTTCTAAATCTCTAAGAAGCCCCAAGACGAACGCTAGCTCTAACAGAAATATTCCTCGATTAATGATTCATTATTTGTATATTTCCAATAAATTAAACAACGTTTTTCTTAGAGAGTAGACAAACCAAGTAGATGCCCAGTGGCACGGTGGCTGGCAGTGCCACAAATAACAAGTGGTACTCATGGTGTTGCAACCTAGGGCTTGTAGGTGAGGGGTCCGCCACAGTTCTTGTAGCAAAGGTAGCTGGGGCGAGTGCGCCACTTGCGGCAGTACCGTCGATAGCAGTTGTTGGGATTGGGCGAGGGCGGGCGGATAGTGGGTGGCCGAACGGTGGGTGGTTTATTGGTGGGTGGTTCATTGGTGGGTGGTTCATTTGTGGGTGGTTCATTGGTGGGTGGTTCATTCGTGGGTGGTTCATTCGTCGGTGGTTCATTCGTGGGTGGTTCATTCGTGGGTGGTTCATTGGTAGGTGGTCCATATGTGGGTGGGTCTGTTGGGGGCTGAGTTGGTGGATTCGTTGGCGGACCAGTAGGCGGGTCAGTCGGTGGCTGCGTTGGCGGCTCCGTGGGTGTGTCCGTTACGGGTGTATCGGTGCTGCAGTCGTTGGCCACATCCCCAATGAGTTGGTTCAGCACACCCACATCTGCCAGCACATTAGCGTTCACATTTACCAGCTTGAAAATCCTATTATTGTCGCCCACTATCTCCGTATTGGGGCCACCTTCAAAGAGAGAGTATTATAAGGATTGGTTTCTTGAGATCTCCATCTCCGAAGTGCACTTACGGTTGACACTGTTCCCCACGCAGGCGGCGCCGCTGCCCTTGATGATATTCAATGCTGCCACATTGGCCAGGATATTGGGCTCCACGTCGATGAGCTTTATGATATCATTGTTGTTGCCTACAATGATCTGTCCGGGTCCACCTGCAAGAGTTCGACTATGAGGACCAGGCCTTCGAGGCTGATTAAAGCTTCACCACTCACTCTTGACTTTATTGCCAACACCAACGCCCGACCCGGAACCGGAACCGGAACCAGAGCCATCAATGCTGTTCAGGGCCAAAAGGCTGGCAAGTACATTGCCACTAACATCCACCACATGTATGAGCTGGTTGTTATCGCCGGTGACACTGTCGCCGTTTTGAGTCAGAAAGTTTCCTGAAAGAAGACCACCAGAGGAGGAGCCGGAAGAAGAGGAACCTCCGCCCGTGATGCTGTTCAATGCCAAGGCATTGACGCCAATTGGTAGAGCGACATTGACCAATTTCGATACCACATTATCGTTCCCAGTGACCTGGTTGCCACTAGCTGGAAGAGAACGCCCAACAACAGATAAGTCAGCCTCTAGAAAAGTATCCATCCCATCTGTAAGCTACTTACAATCGATTTGGTTGCCAATGAGGCCCGATCCGGTAGAAGAGCCACTGGCGCCCGTGATCTTATTAAGGGCGAGAACATTGGCTCCGATCGGAGCTACCAGATTCACCAGACCACTGAGGACATTATTGTTCCCTGTCACCGAATCTCCCTTCGCTGTGAGGAATCAGAATGTCAAAATAATGCAAGTGACAGATCATACAAGAAAACGCACCACTAATACTGTTGCCAATGTTTTGAGAAGAACCCCTTGTAGAGCTTCCAGAAGAGGTGGAGCCTGATGAGCCAGTGGAGCCAGTGGAGCCTGTTGAACTAGTGGAGCCTGTTGAGCCTGTAGAGCCTGTAGAGCCAGTAGAACCACTGGAAACAGTGCCGGAGGAACCAGATGAGTCAGTCGAAGAACTACTTCCGGCTGAATTACTTGAATTCTTTCCGGTAATAGAGTTCAAAAGAGAAACGGCCAAGCCCAGAACAACATCGGCATCTACAAGAGTGGTCACTGTATTGTTTTCGCCTTTAATAACTGTACGTGGGCCCTCTAGAAATATACAAAAACATACACCAGAAAAATACGATAAAAAAGGGATCACAAAGCGAAGATTATTGATGTGATTGATATTGATATTGGGTCGAATGTGTGTGCACTTACGCTGGTTTGTGTTGGTGATGGCGCCACCCGACACTTTGGTAAGAACGGGAGCTACTGCCCCAACGACAGCGTTAGCACTAACAAGGCTAGTCTTCGTGTTTCCATCACCCTCGATGACAGTGTCCGCTGCCTCTGTATTATAGGTAAATTAGATAGTTAAATGAGGAAATCCTGTCTGTATGGGAATAGGATCAACCCAACTCACGTTGATTGGTATTTCCAACAATTTGTGTAGAGGAGCTACTAGAAGAACTGGAGCCTGTTGACGTTGACCCAGTGGAACCACTCGATTCAGAGCCTGTGGTGGCAGATGAACCAGTCGAAGAACTACTGTCGGATGCAGTACCTGTACTCTGTCCGGTGAGGGAGCTCAGAACTGCAAGGGCCGCCTGGACAACAGCATTGACCTCTACAGCGTTGGCCACTGTATTGTCTGAGCCTGTAATGGATGCAGTTGGACCCTCTGCAAATATTAAAATAGAATATTAAATATTAAAAGAAGATCAGTTAAAGGAAAGCGAAATTTTGGTCTAAGCCGTTATTTTCCAGAGAGCCAGCAAACGAAAAAGAGAAATGATCAGAAGGTGTAGATCACATTAAGGATGAGCTGAACTTTGGACAGTTATCTGGAAAATATATCACTTACGCTGATTTACGTTGCCCAAGCTACCACCAGATACTTCGCTAAGAATCGGAAGTGCTGCACCAACGGGAGCGTTGGCCTTAACCAGACTTCCCTGGAAGTTCCCAGTACCGTTAATGACAGAGCCCGCCTCTATATATAGAAAATTGAAAAATGGAACTAGTTGAATGAGAAATTCTTGTGTGCAATGGGATCAACGAACTCACGCTGATTAATGCTTCCAACGGTAGGTGCAGCAGCGCGCTTTGCGGTAGCCACCGACTTCGTGCTCATCAAATTCTTGGCATCCAGGAGGGGACCACCGCCATTGAGGCTGTTGAGAGCCTCCACATTGCTGTTGTTGGGGGGACTCACAATGGAACGATCGAGGGCCGTCATTAGGCCGAGCAGCACCACCTTGGCCACACCCATCTCGAGGAGGCGCACCGCCCAGCTATCGGGAGTGGCGGCACAGAAGCCGCTCCTGTGGCCTTGCGCAATTGTGGTGAGGCTGTCCAGCAGGGAGACGATCAGCATGCTGAAGGCGTTCACCTGAAGCAGGCTAATGCCATCGGAACCCACTGAAAGGGAATGAGAGAATACTTCGATTAGTCCTAATCATCACGTATCATTCGCTGCTAATTACAGTTACTCGTTACCCACTCAAAAAGTATCCCTAATTGGTTCTAAACTTACTTTCTCGGAGATTTTGGATGATGTTGTGGGCCTCGCTGCCCGAGGCACCGCACACCTGCAGCAAGGTGTTGAGGATCGTCGTCAGCTGGGTAACATTCCTCGCCTGCAGGAAGCTCAGAACCGTTTCGCGTTCCCCCTTAATTGCGGCCAGGGGATGGCCGGCGCGGCGAGTGAGTCGAGCACCTGTGCCTTCTGCCATCTCAAAATCATCCTGCTCCAGGGCTTTCTCCTGCCGCTTCTGTTGGGCTGTGCTGCTTTTGATTATCTGCAGCACCTCGTTTTCATTGCACTCGATGCCATTAAAGGAGCAGAGGGCCAGGAAGGAGTTGAGTGTCAGGGTCAGACTATTCTTGTCCTGCGACTTCTCAATGTCCCGGATGATGTGGCCACAGCTGGCCTCCGATTGTGCACCAATCAGAATGTCGATGATCACATCCATTCCCACATGCAGCAGTGCCGCTTCGCTCTGGGTCTCCTTGGTCACGACGCTGCGCAAGGACTTCATCGTGGTCTCCTGGAAGGGTGTGAGCTTAATGCCACGTGCCTGCATGCTGGCCAGCAGAAGATCGGCCAGGTCCTTGGCGGCCAGGCGTCCGATGTTCGTCACGCGTCGTACCACTTGGGCCACTGTGCCTGTTGTGGCTGTTACGGCTGCTGTGCTGTCTACCATGTCAGGTGTGGAAGTTGACGTTGAGATGGAAGTGGAGGTGGAGGTGGATGTGGATGTGGAGGTTGACGCGATTGAGCTGATGAAGGATGGGGTAGAGGAAGCGATGGGCGACCGCTTAGTTGGCTTCGCCTCGTGGGGTATGAGGAAGCAGGTGGACAACAAAAGGAATAGCTGAAGGCGCCACATCTTGAACGATTGGATTCTGAACTCTCGAACTCTTGATCTTTACGCTGATGGAACTCGTCTGTGATTGATAGATCTCGCCACGATCCGAGCGCTTTTATGGTCGATGCTTATCGCCTCTTGTAAGTTCCATCTCCATCTGCGGCACAGCGATAACCACATGCCACATGCATTGGCATGCTGTAGACGTGCCACCCGATCGACATCATATCGTTGTTTAAGTGCATTCTTTCGGCATGTTCTGGCATGGGTGGTGGTTCTTATCTCCACCTCGAAGTTAAAGACAAATCAATGGCTTGGTAGAACAAAAATGTTCAAGCTTCACCAGAAACTTTATTGAAAAGATCTGACACCACTTGGGAACAAACGTGTATATTCCTCAGACAGATGTGATTCTTTAAGTAGGCTTCGATTCGAATGAATATAGCTGTGCCAAATCTATTTTTATTCAAAGTTTTCGGTGCCTAAAGTCTCGACTTATTTATGATGTGACCCTCAGCAACTCTCAGCTGAAGAGAAAGACTATTAATTCCACAGGTGGTCCAGATAGCCCCAGTTTTCTGCCAAATCCAGAACTGTGGCTATCTTTTTTTTAGTCCAGCACGTGCCCCAGCTATTGGGGCACTTTTGACTCTGCGATTTCCGTATAACGATACGAAACACTTGGCCCGAATGAACGTTGTGCTCGTATAAATGCACAAAGCCCGCCTCAGTGTGTCCAGTTAGAAGTTAGACCAACAAACCAAGACCTAACCCAATCCAATCCAATTTAACATAATCTGATGGCGGCCTTCAAACAGAACCAGCGCTTTGCTCTTCTCCTCTTGATCGCACTGGCAGGCAGCTCAGCGGCACAGACATTCACCCAAGAGGATCGCGGCTCCATACTGAAGTTCATGGGTGTACTGATAAATTTCCTGGACTTGGAGACGGACAATGCCACTAGCACAGCGGTACCCAACACAAATGCCACCAGCGTGGGGACGACGACCACTTTGCCTAGTGAACCCTCGGGCGAAACTACAGAGAGCAGTGGCACAACAAGTAACTCCACGACAGGGGACTCAACGAGTGGGACCACAACTACGCTGCCATTGAATTCAACGGGATCGGACACAACCACTGAGGTCGCCTCCACCACTGTAAGACGTCGCATTTGCTTCAAACGCGTCTGCTACAAATTTAGTGCCGACAAGGGTTATATCTACTAATGGCGAGAGGCATACTTGTTACTCTCAATCGTTAGGTGACGAGCTCTCAGCGAAATTCATAACATTCAGCAACCGACATTTTTCAAAAACATCCTGAGCTGCACCTTGAGAGGGGATCCGACTATTTATTCAATATGCACAAGCAATTTATTTGTTTTGGCAAAAAACCCAGGGAAGATTGACATCGAGTACTCGTTACTTCATCGATAAAAGAGCTTCAAAGCAATCGTTAATCTCAAGTACTCATGCGGTCTGGAGAATCCATTGATATCAGCAAGAAGAATCAATCCTTATTCACAGATATATTCCATTTCATAGCTCGTTGCAGTCATTACACCACTCGCTGCTTGCGCTACTCGACCTTTTATGCCGCGGTAGATCCGCGTGTAAATTTAGTATGCAACCTTATATTTTGTAATTGAAATCATTTCCTGAGGAGCAAAAAAACCAATACTTTGTAAATCAAACTTTATTCAGCAATGATAAAAAAAATATATCTGTATAGTATAATGAAAAATATTCTCTGCACATGAAGCCTCTGCTGCGTTGCTGCTTTGCTGCTCTGTCGCTCCATCTTTCTGTCTTTCCCCAGAGGCCTGAACAAATTATTTCAATTAAAAGTTTTCGAGCAAAGCACTTAATGCCAACACAAGTTGTGCGTTTATGTGCGCAAATCTTAATTGTGCCAAAAATACAAGCTATAAATTTGTATTTCAACGAGACACCACAGACACAGATACAGATCCCACGAGTACCCACAGTGGAAGAGGAGAGGGAGTGGAGTGTAGAAATGAATGTACGACTACGAGTGTGTATGAGTGTGCATGTGTATATGGTGCGTGTGTGTGTGTGTGCATTTGGAAAAGGACAACTCAAACTGACAGACAAAGCCCATTGGCAAAAGCTTTGTGGCTTTTCATTGAGTCGTAAACAAATGAAATTTAATTCGTGAAAAGATTTACTTGAATTTATTGTGCAAATAGTTGAATGTCAACGATGCCGCAGCAAGCCATCAAATGGAATTACCCTTCTTCACTCCACTCTGCACTTGCCGGCTGCATTCCCAGATTCATTCATTCAACATTCATTCCTATGTGCCTCCTACGGCGGTGAGTGTTTTGTTTGTGTAGTGCAAATAATTGCCAAATGAAATGAAGCCACAAATATGCATGGACTGACAGTTGCTGCTTTGGATCGTGCTCGACTTTCTAATCGAATTTCTAAAATAATCTCAAATCCGAGTGCCATCAATGGTAAGGAATCCACAAAAAAAGGGCATTAAATTCCATGGAAATGCGAGTGCAATTCCTCTCATTAACGGGTACAAATAAAAACTAGTAGCATCTGCATACATATAGAAAGTAGTAAAAGCTCCTAGATCACTCTATTAGAATTCTGTCTTTTGGACAGAATATGCCGATGATATAGTAATACTTTCGTGTATAGGAAGAGCCTGAAACGCAGTCATTGAATTCTTTAAGAGGCAACTAACAAGTAGGGGCTTCAATGAGTTCTCTCTTGTTAAGGATAACTTTTGTGTGTACATTTGTGATCCATACTTTTTATTCCCCCAAAATGAGTGCTACCAAATTAATTGATTTTTCTTTCGTTCTGTGGGCCGTCCTGAGAACTTGTTGGGCTTCGGCTTCGGCTTCGGGTTTAGGTTTGGGTTCGGGTTCGACTTTGCCTTCCTCGCTGGCCCCACGCCACGTGCCGCAGTCATTTAATTACTGACTATATTGTTATTATTATTTATCCCACACCACCCAATCCCCTCCATATGCGTGTCAACAACTTAACGAAGTTATCATACACACACACACACAGAATGAGAGGCACGCACACCAAGGCAGGGGATTAAGCGACCGCCGCGTGAAGCACTTTAAATTAGTTTCGTTGCATAAACAAGGCCAGGGTGGACGGGGCAAAGGGAGAGTGTGGCATGGCAGGGCGTGGATTGAGACGCGTGCCCAGCAACTTTAAAGACAATCCGGGCTATGAGCTTATCAGACATCAGAATTCAACCACTAACCCACCCACTCCCTCTCTCACTTTCCACAAAGAGTTCATGGACCGATAGTGATAAAAACGAGAAAGAGAAAGTATAAGGAGGAAGGGCGAGAGTGAAAGAGATCTTTTCACGTTAAATTAGTTAATGTTCAATAAATAAAGAAAATAATATTGGCGCAGAATTATATAGAAATGCCCATATCTAGTCTCAATCATCAATCGAAATGTAGTTTTGATCTACTTTTTAGTGTCAGAACTTTGAAGAGGGAAATCCTGGCGATTTTTAAACAATTTAACACTGCAGAGATCTTCAGTTATTCAAAATTTAATATGACGAAATTTGTATACCCGATACTCAAAAAGGATAGGGGTATATTCGCCGACCCCTTAAAGTATACACATATATTCTTGATCAGCATCAACCGATATAGCCATGTCTGTGTGTCTGTCCCTATTAGCGCCTAGATCTCTACAACTTTAAGAGCTAGAGCAACCATGTTTTGTGTGTAGGCTCCTGTGATATCACACTGAATCAAGTTTGTTTAAAAATTGTTCCTTTGCCGCCCCCACAGAGAACGAAAATCAGTGGCAAAAATCAGCTCTTCCCTTTTGCGAACAGCGATTCCAAACGACATATTAAATTAACATAAGTCAGCTCACATACATATGTACATAGTATGTATGTATATACTTACTGAGTACCAGGTATGGAGTAAAGCGGCGGCCCGCATATCAGGATTATACATCTGCCAATGCGACATGTCACTAAAAGACACTTCTTACATGCATTATACACGAGAAAAATTATTGCGAACCCCAAAAGTATGCTTTGCTTTTCCCGAAAAGGCCAAAGACGGACCGAGCCTCGTTTTTCACTTTTGCAGACAATACATTGCAATGTATAATGGCAAGGCGAGTGTCTCAACAATTATAGAGCGGTTACTCCCTGACACCCTAACAACCCCCTCGTAGTGCTGCCGCCAGCTGTCATGAGCCAGACTTGATCTTGAAGCTTGAGGAAAAACCACAAATTTTTTATCATAATGGAAGATTGTATAACTTTATTGTGTTTTCAACTTCGGCAGGCGGCTCCTGCTCATCTTGGATTGCTTGGTTCTCTTGCTTATCTTAATCATCGTTATTAGCCTGGTCGTTATTATTAGCCACGACACTACTATTAACCGGGAGATAAGTATTATCGTCCTCAATGTCCTCAAGTGAATCAAAGTCCGAGTCGGAGTCCGAGAAATCGTCCTCGTCATCCATTACAATAGGGGCTATCTCGAACTGCAGCTTGGCCACCTCCTCTGACAAGTCGAATTGATCCGGTTTGGCGTCAGTCTTCATTTTGTTCACGTATGGAATTCAAATGAAGTGCAAAGTTTTAAAATTGAAATTTTATTTTGTTGCACGTTTAGTTACGTATGTATATGTAAGGTATATGTAAGGGAATCAAATAAGTTGTTAGATATTTCATGGCCTAACTTGACGCAAAGTATCCATATTTTGGCTTAGCACACTCTGTCCGATACTTTTGAGGGTTGTATAGATTATCGTTTTTAATTTTCTAGTCGCATTCCTGATTCCGCATTCTCTAGCAGTTGGGTGCATGAGGAAGCGGAAGGAAGAACTCGACGGACATCCACAAAAGACATAAATAGATTGGGGTATGTGGATCCAGCAATGATACCGAAGGTTTTTCTACAGATACTGACAAACTAGCTTACAATCATTAATACAAGCACAAGAAACAATAATTTCAATTAACTAACAAATAACATTAAATAAATGTATGGAAATATAATAAAGACAGTAAAAAATGAAAAAGGACAGACGAAGCAGACAAGGACTGAGGTCAGGGATGACAGACATGTCGATTTTTCGCAAAGGCTGGTGTCCTATTTTCTTTTTATTGGTTTTTATACATGATAATCAAAATGTGTATAGGGGTACTTTTAATTTAGATGTGTGGGAAAAAGGGGTGTGTGTAACGCAGAGAAGGAAGCGTTTCCGACCCCATAAAGCATATATACATATATTCTTGATCAGCATCAATAGCCTAGTCGATATAGCTATGTATGTCCGTCTGTCCGCCCCGATGAGCGCCTAGATCTTAGAGACTATTAAAGTTAGACTTTCCGCCCTCACAAAGGACGAAAATCTGTGGCATCCTAAACATACGAAATTCGTAAGGAATGACTAGCAGACTGCCGAATCTGGATCTGATCCGGCCCCCGGTTGCAGTCCAGTACCAGGGAACCGGATATTTCAGCTTTCCTATTGCCTGCTGCTTTCGGAAAATGACAGTGTTGCATAGCAGCTGATTGAAAGTGCTAGTAAACCATGCGGGCAGTGAGACCAGACACCAGACAGATGCTTTTTACCTAATTTTTATACCCGATACTCAAAATGAGTATTGGGGTATATTAGATTTGTGGTAAAAGTGTATGTGTGTAACGTCCAGAAGGAATCGTTTCCGACCCCATAAAGTATATATATTCTTGATCAGCATCAATAGCCGAGTCGATTGAGCCATGTCTGTCTGTCCGTCTGTCCGTCCGTCCGTCTATCCGGTTGCCGAATCTGGATCAGATCGGATCATTTTTGTAGCCAAAAGCAAGAAATTAATTTTTAGTGGCTACGCAGCGCCCGACGTCACGCTCAGACTGATTTTCTGTCTCTCTCGCACGCACTCTTTGTCGTGTCGTTTAATATTAGCGGCGTCTGCCGGAGGAGAGCCATACTGACTTAGTATCGGGTATAACTGTAGAGTTGCGGTGTCCGCAGCAACTCACAACGTTCCCCCTCGTTTAGATTTTACATTATGTAGATTAAATAAACGAGTTATGTTTTATTTTATATAAGATAAGCTAACATAAAAACGTTAGGAGTTTGGGAGCTGTGTTTGAGAGGGAGAGGTAGTACTTCCTGGCCTTAGAGTCTCATGGGTAACTGTAACTGTGCCGTTTCCCGCATTTTGCACGGAACGATGGAAAGGACCGCCCTCTCTCGAGATAGACAAAAGACAAGGGCGGAACGCAAGCGCTGCCCCTTATATTTAGAGTCCTATGTACAGGGTCCAGACCACGTCTGACGGACCGCCAAAAAGTGCGTAATGAGTAGCCGAAGCGGGGGGAGCCAGAAGAAAGACTCAAACTTAATCGCCAGAGGCTCGATTAAAAATTAATGTAAATCGCATTAGAGCAATAAAGCGATGATGCAATAACCATGTACTCGAATACTGCCAGTACATAGGGGTGTAGTGGCAGCAGCAGCATCAGCAGGGGGGGGCAGAGGATTACAAGCTGCCAATCCACTTGCCACATGACGCAGACCGGTGCCCATTGTTTAGTGGTTGAAACGCCGGGCCTCATCTTCCTTTGCTGAGCCCATTGTCCTCGCCACGTCTGCTGAAACCTAATCGGCTTTGCCCACAACCCAAAAGGACGTGCACAGGAGGTATGCACAAGAAAACACGATCAAGATT